AGTCTCGGAACACTCTGCCTTTGTTCATTCTGTTAACCGAGGCCGAAATGGTGTTCCCACTCTCTCTGTCCGGCAGCTTCTAGCTCTCCCTGTGCGGGAAGCTTCCCTGACCTCTTCCTGGCTGCTGCATGGGCTGCCTCAGGTGCTCCTATCCTGGCCTCTTATAGCACCTGCAGGTGTTCTTGCTTGGAGCAAACCCAGCACACACGCGACATTCCTCTGTCTGCCCGTCCCTAGTCTCCAGACACTCTGTCTCCCATCGGTTCTCTCCCTCTGGATTTCCTCTCAAAGGTTTCAAGAGTTCAGGATCCAAAAAGAAAGAAATTGTAAACGGGGTTTCCGAGATTGGAAAACATGGGAGGTGCTGAGCCACTGTTTCCATTTTCTTACTCCCACTGAAATGGCAATTTTGCTTTTCTGTGTTGCCATCTCTAATAGGCCCTTCTGTGTATTGTATTCCCTTAGGTGACAGTATAAAACCTGAGACCACCGAGCCTTCCCCTTCTCACCTTGCCTTGTCTGAGGAAACCTCACCACGGGAGCAAATGACTTCACGAGCCCCAGGGTACTCCCAGCTTGGGCAAGGCAAGAGTCAGGATAGGCCATCAGAAATGCTGGAAGGCCAGTTGGAACCAGGAACAGACCCCCTGATGGAAAAGCTCCCTGGAAACACGAAGCCCGAACATGATGGTTTAGGGACAGATGATAGTCTACACTCAAGGATTGTACAGGAGCTGATCCCTGTGGGACATGTCCTCCATGAACGTGACTCACGGGGACCACTGAAAGATCCCTTGATTCGTGAAGGGAGACGTCCCTATAAGTGTGCGGAATGCGGGAAAGTGTTTACCAAGAACTGCTTTCTTGTTCGACATGAGCAGGTTCACACTGGAGTGAAGCCCTATGAATGCACCGAGTGCGGGAAAACTTTTAGCAAGAGCACACACCTCCTCCAGCACCACATGATCCACACGGGGGAGAGGCCCTACGAGTGCATGGAGTGCGGGAAGGCCTTCAACCGCAGGTCGCACCTCACGAGGCACCAGCGGATTCACACTGGGGAGAAGCCTTATAAGTGCAGTGAGTGTGGAAAGGCCTTCACCCACCGCTCCAATTTAGTCTTGCATAACAGGAGCCACACTGGAGAGAAACCCTTTGTGTGCAAAGAATGTGGAAAAGCCTTCCGAGATAAGACAGGTTTCCTTCGACACTACATCATCCACACAGGAGAGAAGCCCTTCGAGTGCCTGGAGTGTGGGAAGGCCTTCAACCGCCGCTCACATCTCACGTGGCACCAGCAGATTCACAGTGGAGTGAGACCCTTTGAATGCAACGAATGTGGGAAAGCCTTTTGCGACAGCACAGACCTCATTCAGCACTATGTCATCCACACGGGGGAGAAGCCCTACAAGTGCCTGGAGTGTGGGAAGGCCTTCTACCGCCGGTCACACCTCAAGCAGCACCAGCGGAGTCACACCGGCGAGAAGCCCTATGTGTGCACTGAGTGCGGAAAGGCCTTCACCCACTGCTCCACTTTCATCTTGCACAAAAGGGCCCACACCGGAGAAAAACCCTACGAGTGCAAAGAATGCGGGAAAGCCTTTAGCAATCGGTCAGACCTCATCCGACACTTCAGCATCCACACTGAGGAGAAGCCCTACGAGTGCATGGAGTGCGGGAAGGCCTTCAACCGCCGCTCATACCTCACGAGGCACCAGCGGATTCACAGTGGAGAGAAGCCCTATGAGTGCGTGCAGTGTGGCAAAGCCTTTTGCCAGAGGGCAAACCTCATTCGACACGCCATCATCCACACCGGGGAGAAGCCCTATGAGTGCAGTGAGTGTGGAAAGGCCTTCACCTACTGCTACACTTTCATCTTGCACAAAAGGGCCCACATTGGAGAAAAACCTTTTGAGTGCAAACAATGTGGGAAAGCCTTTAGCACTAGGAAGGACCTCATCCGACATGTCAGCATTCACGCTGGGGAGAAGCCCTTCGAGTGCTCTGAGTGTGGGAAGGCCTTCAACCGCCGCTCGGGGCTCACGAGGCACCAGCGGAT